GCACACAGAGCCCTGACAATATACTTAATATCTAAAATATATATATAGCTTCATATATCAAATGATTTCTTTTTCTCCATGTTTTGTAACCTTTTTTCTCCCCGGTCATGACCCTGTGTCTGTCTGGCTTCTCCATGTCCTGTCTCTGCAGGTTCCTGGTTTCCCTGCCATGGCTAGTTAATGTCTCCAGTTCTGGTCCCTGAGTTTCTCTTCCTGTTAATAGTCTCTCTGTGTTTCGTCCTTTTTTCTTCCCAGTCAGTCGTGTCTCCCTGTCTTTCTCCAGCCCCTTTATGAAGTTCACGTGTTTTAGTCTGGGTCTCAGTGTGTGTGTTACTTCCTGTTTTATTTTGATAGCCTTGCTTTCACTTATACAGTACCAATTTAATTTCAGTAGTCACCTCTAGGCAACATATATTATAAGGACATGTTTCAACATCACAACCACATCTAAAGAACAGCAGGCCTTACTTGCCTCACCTATGATCAGTGTTCATGATTCAGTAACAAGAAATGGGGGAAAAAAGGTAGATTTCCAAGGCTCAACACAAAGGCTCGTCTCATTTGCCAAGAAACATCTTGATGATCCTAAAAACTTAGGAGGAACATATTCTATGGACTAAAAAGACAGATGTTTTACTTTTTGTAAGGTTTGCATCCTGTTACATCTCACATAAAACTAAAACAGCAAGTCATATAAGGGTATCAGCAAACATGGTGGTGGCAGTGTGATGTACCGGGGCTGCTTTGATGCTTCAGGATCCAGACAACCTGTTATCAGTAATGGAGCCATGAATTCTATATACCAAAAAATCCTGAAGGAGAACGTCTGATTGTCTGTTTGTGGATGTTAGTTAAAGTCTGGACTTGCATGTTCCCAAGAGTGGGACAAAATTAAGTTTTAGGTAGGTACTTAGGTAATGGTAGTTATTTTCCATTAATAAATGAAAACATAATTTAGAAACTTTTACATTGACTCCAGTTATCCTTGTCTAATATTGATCTAAAACATGGAACTTTAGCAGACATGATAAAAAGAAACCAAGAAGGTGTCA